CAATATTCTAACAATTACGCGACAGATTACAAAATATAACTCGTGTCTCAATAGCGAATGTAAGTTCTATTGGTTCCCTTTTAATTGTGGGCTGACCACAAAGAAAGAGAAAAAATACTGTGTGTTTGTTTGGTTCGTTCAAGAAATGCACAAAGTTCTATGCAATTTGTAACATACAGGCGGACAATCTTATGCTCTGCGTTGAACCGTACCTGATTTTCACTTCATATACTCGATATCTCCTAACGTAACTAAAATTTGCTTGCTGCCTTAAAGTGAATTAAACACCAAACTTGGCATCCGATTTTCACGGGCTCTAACAAATCTCGGCGACATAATTTCGAGCAAAGCGCTGGGAATATCCAATCGCAGCAATCCGCTGAGTGATTTGGGCGAATGACGAGGGTATGTGCTTAAATACTAAATATTTTTGAGAGTTTCTGTGGTTTCCGGTCAATGAGAGTGTACTTTAATTTATCGCAGATCAACTAGCGGCTTCTTCCTGTCCCAGATTTCCACGTATTGGAGCAACCTCATTAGCGCCATTTTAACTATCGCAATAGGACTTGCGATCAGCCTCCTAACAGGTAACTATGCTTAAATATAATAAAAATACAATAGCGCTCGAGAACGAAAACTCCAAAAGGCAGGCAGAATACAATAGATCGAGCCTTTCGGTATCAACCATCTAAAGTTGGACCGGTGATACCTGGAAGGCCACAGCCTCTTAGTAAAGCGATTGTGTAGTACTATCAATACAGAGTCGTGCTCGATCGTTAACTTTTCTTTATGCCACTGAAACGTGAGTCTAAAACTTTGGACGTCGCCAAACCGGATATGGAATGGTACAACTAATATAGGTAGTCGAGCATTTCACGCTTTATTTTCAAAACGCGGAAACTGTAGGTTTTGTGTCTTTTTTTATTTTCTTGTGAAGTGGATGTAAACACAAGGATATGTGTCTATGTCTACACCCATTTCACTGCTTACATGCATAACAAAGCACCTGATCGTTCACATAATTGCCTTATGTTTTCGCATATGGCAAACGGCGTAGTCATTATTCACTGCTCTCTCTGCGAAGGTGGACGACTGACATACAAGCAGCACATTCATTTGTCAAGCGACACGTTCCTCGCATTGTGGCGGAAGCTTGGCTTCATCTCATCTGAACATGACACTACAGTAAGTACGACAGTGGAAACCAATTGTCGGTATTTGTTTCTTCGTGCAATGCATTATTAAATAATGCATTGACATTGCATAATGTGGTTGACACGCTTTTATACCTTCATTCTCCTAATTCTGTCTTTTCAGATAAACCTCGCAACTGTGAAAACCTATTTGGGAGAGACTACATACGAGTTCCAGAACCAAGACAATTCGAGCCTCAAAAACGAAACAAAGATATAATTAAACATTTTCTAAACAGCCGCACACACGGTTTTTTTTTATCTTGTGAATTGGTTCTCACTGCAACCAACCAGTTATTGCATTTGCTTTTAAATTCATATTGCTAATATTTTAGCAAGGAACCTGCATTTGCGACTATTATGATTGGACGATAAAGCACACTCGTACGTTTGGACTTGATAGCTCGGGTCACCAGTTATAGATCGATTGATTTCCTTACGTGATTTTTAGACTTAACACACCGCTCTTTAAAACAGTGTCATTTTGCCAAACCCAGTTAAAAAATAACCTAGTCTTGCGAAAGGCGGAATAAGTTATTGTGTAAACACTCGGAATAAAATCAAAATACCGTTTGTTCATAGTATGTGTCTCAAATAGAACGTGATGGTTTAAAGTCAAATAATTATCAGGGGAGAAAAACGACATATGAATAAATGGTAAGATTAAGCAGCAGAGCTGGGGAAAGTTACAAATTCTTATAATCTTATATTAAAAGTTGCAAAATCTCATACAAGAAACACAATTGTAAACTGGGTGTCATTCACTTTTAAGAGTAACAAAAAAAAATGTACGGTAGTCAGCTTCACTTCATGCTCACAGGCTGTTTGGTAGCTATATCTTATATTGTTTACGTAAATGTTTTCAACGGTGCATCCGAAATAAACCAAACATTTTTTCTTATTTTATGCAACAAGGCGTCAACCTGAAAAATTCGAAATTAGTTACATTTTCATCTTCTTTATTCTTTATTCTTTCTTTCTTGTGTCCAGGAACAGCCGAAGCCTGAGTGCTGTTACACAGAAATACACTGTACAAAAAAGAAACACAAAAACATTGATCCTAATAAAGCCGAATGCTTGGGGCATTTTTAAACGAGCGTTCACTGTCGGAGATGTCAATCTCCGCGCTTAGTATATTAAAACTATTTTGAATACATAACATAAGGGAAAGTGAACAAAAGTTTTGCACATAAAACGTGTTGACGGTGCGACTGCTCGCACGTGGAACGATAAAGAGAGCAGAGACACAAGTTCAGAACAACTTAATGTTGCATGCACACCTTTGGGCAAAAATACATAATCTTGAAAATTAGGCCGAGGTACTAATGTCTGCAAATTCATCCTGTGGAACATTGACTCGTGACTAAAAAATCCGGCAACCGTAATAACGATCCTACAAATGCGGGCCAGCTTCCTCTGAACTCGTTCGAACCTCTCAGAGCCTGCCACACTCAAACATTTCCAGACTAGGAGCCGAACTAAAGTATTGAACGCACAGTACAGGTGTAAACCTTACAAGACACGAGGGCTCCTTGAAATCACGGGTTATTCTCGAAAGCAAACGTAAAAGTCGGAAGCATGAACTCACCAAATTCGACAAATGTGCATCAAAACTGAGTGTGGAATCCACATAGACGTCCAAATCCCGCACACAATCCACTCGACGTAATGGTTCATCATTCAGCTTATACAAAAAATGGAGAACCCATATTTTTGCGTGATAAAAAAATGACAAACATTTTTTTTCCTATTTAAACGCAAGTTTTGCATCTCACACCATAACGAGATTGCAGATATGTCTTTTTGCAAAAGTTCCCAATCAGCATCCGATTTGATATGTCTGTAGATCTTCATGTCATCGCCGAACTGGAGAAATTGGGAATGTTTTACACAACAATACAAATCATTAACAAAATAATTAAATAGCAAAGGTCCCATAGTTGAACCCTGGGGAACACCAGAAGGACATGTGTATGATCTCTATGACTCACCGCTAACACGAACTCTGTTAATGCGCCCAGTCAATTATGTTTTGAACCCCACACATAATGGCAAAGACACTCCACATTCTGACAGTTTGTAAATTAATAGTTCATGATGCACAACGTCAAATGCCTTGCTCAGATCAAAATAGATGGCGTCGACCTGACCATGGTTGGCGACGATAGGACCAACGCAACTGAAATAGTTGGCCAAGTTTGTTTCCACGGACCTAGACCTAGTAAAGCCATGTTTTGATTCGTTTAAAATTTCTTTAAAATGACTGGAACGATGCATTATACTACGTTCTCAAAAAGATTTGAAAATGACGACAGTAATGACACAGGTTTGTAGTTTCCAACATCTGACGAGTTCCCTGATTTGAAAATTGGCACTTAAAATGAGATCTATCGGACGATGAACAATAAAAAGGTCAATTGTGCCTTTATGGAATTTCTCATTTGTAGTAATCCCGTTGCAAGCAGCGACTCAAACTGGAGCCGGGACCACGACGAGAAACCGTTACATACTATATAATGTTCGGCAACCGTAAGCAAAATATGGACCGCAAACAAAAATCAACCAACCGCGAAGCGACACATTTTAACATATTAGCAGTAGAAACGTATCTAAAAATATCTCCCGAAAGGAGATATTTTTAGATACGTTTCTACTGCTAATATGTTCATCTTACTGCTAATACAGTCATCTTCGACTGCTAATACAGTCATCTTACTTGAATAACTTATATTGTGTGTGTATATGTTGAAGGGAATAAATCTGCGAATTTGTGTCCTAATATAAAAAAAAAGTCTAAAAGTCGCTTTCTACTTGGGATGGTGCAGATGAACGTCAGTATAGAAAAAGCATAATTTTTATACAAGAAAAAATTTAACAGTGGATTGTTCCCGAGCCCGGAAGTTCGTAAACTTCCGACTTTGAAGTACAGCACATACAAATAACTTGTTGCGAAGTACTTAGTACTCAGCATATTCAGAGTTTTGTTTCTTATCTCACTGATTAAAAACACTGAGACATATTTTGTTTTGCCCACCACTCAAAAATTCCTCTTTGAATTGATAGAATAACAAGGTGATTTGCGATTACCACTTCACTTGTTTTATTAGTTGAGCCGGTTCTCCAGTTTAATGTAATCTCAGTCTAGACATCTTCCTTGCTGTTTTAAAGAAGCTTAACTGCGTGTAAAAATAAAGTATAAAAAGTACAGAGCGCAACATACAATCATTATTCCAGACAATTCTTGGTTGAAGGGCCACATGTAGACGTTTGGACGAAAAATTCTTAACATGTGCGATGCCAAAACATGAAAACCTTTCATTAATTTTGGTAAAGCTTACAAATACACGAAACACCCCAAAAGAACATAAAAAAAATCGCGTTTCTTCTTTTGCAAATTTATTGTCCCATTTGTTTTATTCTATTTTTAGCCTACATTTACTTGCTTTTCAATCCCCTTGCTGTGCGAAGGTTGAATTGTGCTGTTTCGTGCTTTAAAATTTTTTTCTCAACCAGCTTCTCCTATATTGGTGAGGTTCCAGACCCTGTTCAGAAATGAAGAAACCACGTTGCCGCGTTTTTGTTATCGTGCAGTTTTTGGATAGTACTTCGCGGCGACCCGAAAATGATTTAATTATAAAATTTACAGGTGACCAGGCTGCACTCCACCAATAAAAATGCTTGAATTATAAGCTTTTCTTTTCGGCAAAAAAAATAGAAATGGCGCTCCAAATAACACACATACGAGCCTCATGATGAGAAGTCGTCAAATGAAGCTCGAGCTCCCATTCACGAGGTGAGCATGCTTCTTCACAGGCATTGCCTCGTAAAGGTTCTCATTCTGACCTGTTTGTGCGGGTAGACGTTGATGTGGCACTTGATGCATTTCTGTCCCATGTTGGCCCAGCTGTTGCCGCTCATCCACTTTCGCTTGCACTTGGTGCACTTATATTCCCCGAAGCAGCGCTTCTTACCCTGGTATGGCGTCAGTCCCTGTCCTTTGGGTCTAGCCTACGGGAAGAAAAATCGTACAGCACAGTTTATTAATTCTGACTAGGTTGAAAAAAGTAAATTTTGAGACATTGAATAGGAATCATTCTTACACAGACAACAGCAGCGAGGCTTGTACAACTTTTGATTTTGTTTTCTATGCAAAGACGTAGTTCAACTACTGGTCATTCATTACAGGAAAACTGAAGTTGTGCTTTCGTATTTAAATGAAAACTACATTCAACCTTTGAGCAGTCTTCACTCAATATCAACACGGAGAAACCTGTCACGTTTCGTAGCTAGAGTATAAGAAGCACGCGAGATATTTCTAAGGCTACAGGTCTAAAGCAAATATTTTAAGCAAAATAACTCATTGAAAAAAGTCGATCCCACTTCAAACATAAGTGAAACTATTCCCTCTCGTCATTTCTGCTCTTTCAGCCTACATTTGCATGCGGCGCATATATCTTGAGTGTTTTTGTAACATGTGGTAGTAATACAAAGCACATATATTACGCTATTGAAGCGACCTGACTTCCGACCGCATGTTATAACGAAAGCAGCTTATTGTTTCATAACTCAATTGTTAATTTAAATTTTGCTAAACTAATTGAGGAAGCCGTCATACTCAATGAGTTATTGACATATCTTAAGCACATCGTGTAATTGTTGCAAAGTAAATGTTTATTTCTTAGACGTAATTATTCCTGCACTCGAAATGCCCATACACTTTAATTTGAGGAGTTGGATTTTGCTAAGTTTAAGGAAATTAATTTGTTTCCGTCTTATGCGCACAGGCCGTAGGATTCCTGGATGTACCGTACTTAAAATAATTAGGCAAAGCAAAATATAAAAATTTAATATTACCTGAGGGCAATCCTTGATATAGTGTCCCTTGTGGAAGCAGAGATGACAGAGGTAGTTTAGAGGCGGTTTTTTGACAAGCTTATGGTCCAGGCCGAGACTCAGTTCGCGAAACTGGTCGGCGAGATCTACCACGTGACCTCCCTGATAACCACCGCAGCAACCATCAGCAGCGTAGCCCGGAGGACCCATGGTGCCGTACACTGAAGCAAGGCTGTACTTTGCCTGCAGTGTTGAAAGTATGGACATGCCTTTGTTAAAGAAAATGTACTGTTAGAAATACAGGAGAAAACTAAGTGACTGTATCAGCTTTGCTATTTGCGTGGCAGTTCTGCGTCGTACGGTATACTGCACTTTATATAATGTAAGGCATTTTTTTCTTAGGGGGACTTATGAACGCTAGTACAAAACGGAATGCGTAACCAAAAGCGTGAGAAATTGTGAACAAGTTGGAATTTGAATAATTGCGAAACAAGAACATGTACTCCTGACACAACTTGTCCGTTTCTTTTAAATTACTAAATATCGCGAAAAAAAGTCAAACTTTATAAAGCGAAGATTTTCTTTGCTAATGGCTAACACGTCTAAATTGTTATTTGAGGACAGTCCATGGGCCGCCGCGCCGTTGTTCACCGAATTCGATTACGTGACAAACGTATACACAGTGCTGCTCAGGCAAACCTCACTACGATCGTCGGCAACCCCAATAGCCACTAGCCGCTGTTTAGACACCATGAAACTATGCTCATGTTCTTTCATTTTTTACAATGCATTATATTATTCATTCCTCCGAAGTCCGTCGTCGTATGGATGAAAAATTCGTAAAAGAATGACCCAACTGCAGTTCTGCCTCCAGCGCCCGATGTGTTTCGCGTCTGAGCACAAACATAAGAAAAGCAATGTCCACATATGAAATCACTCACAAACACTAGCTTGCTTTTTCACTTCCGGAGTCATTATACCATAAAACTTTGCTATCCTAGATAATTTATTAAATAAAATAGGTCTCTCTTTAGGCTCATGTGAATGCCTGCTTCTAAATGTTAATAATTTTGCCGATTCCTTCAAAGAGATAAACTGGAAAACCGGAGTTTTTTTTTGTTTTTTCGTTTAGGCACAAGATTTTCGGCACTTAACCTTTTCGTTTAAGAACTAGATGTCTGGTACCAAGCTAACATATTCAAAGTTCGTTGGAAACACCGAATTGCAAACTATCTATCGTATTGTTTACTCTGGGACCTCAAAGTCACAACACAAACCTTGGACCGACGCCTGCAAACGGGTTTAGTTTGCATATTGAAATAAAAACTTCGTGATAATCAGGTGGCATCCGCAGAGCCAAAACGATGCATGGGCGTGCTTGTTCATGAAACTAAGTTCGACTGGAAAAGTATACATAAAATTTTTGTAGTTTGCGTGTTGCATTGCACATTCTATAAATTTCTCAGCCAAATATTTAGTGCAAATTTATATTCAAGTGCGACGTGGTCACCGAAATTAGAACGGAAAGAACAACAGCAAACAACCAGCCGCATTCGTCGAAGCACGACTCCTCAGGCGTAAAGAGTGGCTTTCCCGCATAAATTTAGATTTTAAGATGAATGAATGCACAACTCTACTCAGTACGAAAGCTTATGTACACGAACTCTAAAAGAGTCCTTTCTTCCTTTGCTTTAGATCAAAGCTTGAGGATAACTAAGAAATGTGATAAACGACGCAAGCCACTGATGGCCATTGCAAAAGTGCTTCTGATTTATAGACGACGGATACACCAAAACTGCGCATGTTCGCTGCTCTTATTGTTGCTGAGCTACTATCAAGTTCGAAATCATATATATCTAGTCACATGAATGTTTCCATTAATAAATTGTAGTGGTCTGCTGCCGGCGTCATTTACGGTAAGTGGAGCTCGCCGATATTTTAGCAAACCATTTAATGGAGATTGTTCGACGTGTTTTGTCGACGGATGTTTTATTCATCCTCCTTAAACCGAAACTTAACCCCTGTCCTCTACCCCCCCCCCCCCCCCGCAAAAAAAAAGAATGAAAATAAAAGCACACAAAGACTTCTTTCTTGACACTGCAATATGTATTAATATTAGTTTTGAGTCTCGGCGTTCCTGTAATTCACATTTCACAAAACTTTGCATTACCTGGATGAGCATTTCCTTCTTAATGTATAACATCAGGTCATTTATGCCATTTAATTTACAATCATTTATAGTTTAGTCATTAGCAAAAGGTACTCTCCGCTACGGCATAGCATTTTTTTTCTTAATTCTTTAGACTTGCGGGGGGGGGGGGGGGGGGGGGGGGGGCGCGGGCGGGGGTAGGACAAAAGTGAATATTATCTTTAAAAGAATGATATGTGCTATTTACTGAACACCTACAACTTGCTGTCTGGAAATGTTTCCCAATATCAGGGTTCCTTGTCCCCATTGCCATACCTGTTATAGCAAGAACCTGCGGTCGTTTTCCGTTCTTAAGATGCGTAATTGTTTAGCTTCTACTTTCCTTTACATCACTTCTTGAGGAATCCATAAATAAGAGCTATGTCACCTTATATTCTAATTGCTAAGTCCCTCTAAACTTAAAAAATGTATACTTTTGCGATGGTATAATAATCACACAATGAACGGTGCTTACAAGAGGGTGCATTTGTGGTACAATTCTAAACTGAAAAGCGTCACCTTTATTAAGGCAAAGAGTGCCGTTTCCTTATTTATGTGATTTTGTAAATTTTCTGTTTAAACTAAGATCGTCAAACTTCGTTTGACACTGCCTTGCAACGTGCAACATCTCTAGATGCCAACCTGTTGTGATAATTGAAATGTCTTGATTTAATTTCTTTTCTAATATATACATTTGCAGGACTTTTTGTATTGGGAACCTAAGGGCTGGTTGTCACACTTGAAAATGCTTATGAGCGGAGAGGCTAAATCTGGATTTTAAGCCTCTTGTTACCGCTCATAATCGACCATGCTGCTGCTATACCAATAAGCAGTTGCATGAGACTTGAACCCCGGTTGAGGTGTGGTCGCTCGTAGTCCAATGCAAGTGTGAATCTTCCGTTCAAGTTCCAACTAGTACTGAAAGCCGCATTTTTTTCTGGAACTTTTTTTTATACTTTTTTTAAATATTTCTGCGATCTGATTTCTTCCTTCAAGGGATTGAAAGCATTAATGAACCTGCTTCGGGCCGTTCCTATTCTGATCCTCCCCATAGTCCGAAAATTATTATTATATTATATTATTTTACTTTGTATTGGACCAGTGATATGGTATCATGTTCTTTATATTGTTCCTAATTATTATAAAATTTTCACATAGTTAATTCTGGGTCACATTTAAGAATGCTTGTAGTTCAAAATTTAAATGTAAGATTTTTATTCGCGCTGCCTACATTTCTGCTCATACTTGTAACTTTGTCACCGTATTCAAGCCAGAAAATCTGGCCGTGATAAATCTCAGACAACTTACCAAAATTACCAAAATTCACAACGCGCACATGTTTCATTATTCTAATTTATGTGATTTTATCTTTTCTTTCTTCTCCCTTTCGTTATTGAGCAGCGCGTCTTCAAAATGCCATTCCTCAGCATGTGAAAGTAAGATTGGGTCGATATTCTGGAATGTAGCTTTCTTTTTTTTTTTTTTTATCTTGCAGCCCTGGCCGTGCTTCGTTCGAGGAAGACGATTTGAGACTGAATTCACATATACAAAAAAGTATAATGGAATGTTTGCACGGCGGTACATCAAGCGAAAGTCAGAATGCCGGCGAGCAGTTTAAGTGCAGACAATGTAATCGTTTTCGACATTGCTGAGTTTCAATGTCTGTTCTCAGGCACGCCGCCACACACACCGTGCTGCATATCCGAGACACGTTTTATTTTTATTCGAACCTAACGACTTCTCTTGGGGTAACAAAGCAGAGCCGGAACAGAGGAACGGAGGTTAAAAATAACTTCCTCCTTTTCTCCCACGAGAACCCGGGTCACCCTACAAACGAATCATGAGAAAAAGAAAGGAAGAGTAACTTATGCATTGACTAACCTTGTCCTAGGTTAAAACATAAGTTCCAAGAATAGACTGGAAACTAAAAATACAAAAAATACGTTTGTAATAGTGCGTGGCTAATCCCCCCTTTAGCAGTAAGCCCTTTATTAATTCTCTAAACACATTTGTGATGCCAAAATACAAAGCTACAGATTTCAATTTTGTATCATCACTGTACTTCTAGACTTGTATGTTTTATAGTTTCTGCTCGTCCCCTATTACAATTAACACTTGACTTTTAAAATACGTTTTCTTTAACGCTGATATACACAGAGAGAAATTTCGCAGCTTTTTTTTTGTTATTTTAAAAGAAGAGCCGACAACTTGCGTTCCATTAAGAAAAAACTGGCTTAATATTTTTGTCGCTAAGTTTGTATATGACACACTTAATGGTATATGGCCTTGTGAGAAAATTATTTTTTACAACATATTATTTGCCATATTTTATGGTAAATATCTAAAATGATAGGCTGCAGTGGAAGCACTATATCATATAATAATTTCAATATTGTGCTTAGCTAGAACTTTGGTTTTCATTCCTGAAGAATTCAGTAAATGCTCAGATTTTACGCTCTGCAATAAAATACGAAATTTACAACTCAAACGAGTTCGTTTCGCGTCAGGGTACATATATATATATATATATATATATATATATATATATATATATATATATATATATATATATCAATTAGGGTTTACTCACAATATAAATGAAAAGGAGAGACCATGGACTACAAGAAACTCCGTAGCGAATTATATATCTGCTTCACCTCATACCTCCTTAGTTTACTTTTCAGCGAAACATGGAGCACTACAATCGGTGCATGCGGTGCAGAATTTAAACCAAAATCACCAAGTTTGAGTGTTTCTTGGTATTCGATGCTTTGCAATGACTATCAGGTACCCAAAGTCACTACTAAACAGAGTTTGTAAAAAGTCGGTTTGAAAAAAGCTGCATGTCTATACTGACCTAACTCGTACAAGCAAGCTCGCAGTCTATTTTGCCACAATTAAAAGATTAAAATGGAGTTCTCTGAATACGTTTCAAGTCGATTTCTGCTGAACTCGGTCATACGTAGTGTCAAATATTATTCAAATGGTATAGCTAGTTAGAAAATGACTGGAACAACAAAAA